GTAGTTTTCGCTGGATGCACCACTATTTGTGTGCGTTATAATAGTGTAATGTTTACGACACGTCGTCGAGCGTCGTTCAGTGCATTGATGATGGTTGCATAACGTTTAAGGGTGGTTTTACACTTACATRGGGGAGTTGTTTTCGACATTATCCTGAATTAATGACGTATAATTCTCTGTCTTTAGCATTATCGACACTTGACTGGGCACCGATACGTTGGTGTGCATTTGAAATGACAGCGAACACCCGTTGTTGTCGAACACGCCGACAGTGTAGTAAGGGCTCCTTATGTAGATATGTGGTGTGTTCTCGTGACCGTAAATGAATAAGAAATTTCCTGTGAACAAACAGAGAGCGATTAATATCGTTAAAAMGATTGAATTCTATTAGAATGGCTTTTTTTGTATAAACCGTGGGCTTATTAATACTTAGTAGCCTGTGCCTAACCGTTTTTCGAAAGTTTTGAGTTTAGAATGATGTAAAAACTATCAAAATCGTAAAACTTTTATTTTACAGAAATTTGAAAATGACATCGAAATAAATGTCTTAAAAAGCGTATTTACTATTTTTTTACAAGTTTTCAAACCTATAAAAAGTCATATTATTTTCAATACMTTTTTGATATTATTTTGRATATTGCCATACACAATATTATATCCAAYRAATTTCATGTACATATACAAAAAACGGTACTTTTAMATAATRACGTTGATTTCTCAGATCCCTTTCATAAATAGCATCGMGATATTTAGCTAATACAATTATTGTCTAAAACGATCACATTTACAGTATATTCAAATCAATTTTATCGAGATATTTTATTCTTGTTATAATGCTTCCTGTACAACCAATAACAATTTTAAAAGCTCAAAACACYGCTATTTCATAAAAATATATAATTTTTTGTAACTAAAATAAAATCTGTAATTATTTTAATGTAAATAAAATAATTTCTTATGAAGCTTGATAGTATTTTTATAATAAATTCATTTTTTGCTATAAAAATCATTTGTGTTGTTTGAATCCAAACAATAAAATTATAATTGTATAGAGTACCAAGTTTTCTCCCACCATTATTGATTCTACAGCCACCATAATTGTACAATGCGTGAACACCATCAGCTAGAGTTCTAACAAATTGGCGATTTTATTGAATTTGTTTCTATATTAAGTGTACCGTTACATTTAAGGCATATAGTCATTTAATCAAAAAATATWAAAATTAATAAGAAAAATATTTAGATGATCAATGAACTAGTGCCTGATTTGGGTACGATTACAATATTACAATATTATACAGTGCTCCAAATTATTGGTTTACCATGAAAAAAAAAATAAAAATAAAAATAAAAATGAAA